GTCGAAAACGTGCAACATCCTGTGATCGATAAATACCCGAAGATATATACTTGGTTACATTTTTTTACAATTTGTTCGCAAGAATTGTGTAATCGGGACCAAACCATCAAAAAGCGATTTTATTTACAAACGTGAATAATCTTTCTTTCCATTACGACATTCATACCTTATCATATCAAGATTGCATTGTAATTAACGAGTTCTGTTTTCCACGAAATAATTTCAGTCGACGAGAGACAGGCCATCCTTGCGCGATAAACAATTCTCTACACGTGAGGCGTTAATTCAAACGTACTTGTAAATACGAAATAAATTGTACGACAAGGTAAAGAGGTGCCACGTAAATGACTGAGCTTGGCGTGGAAATAAAAGAAATTTTAGCTTTATTGTAACACGGTTAAAATCAACGTTAATTACGGTGAATATATTATACTCGGTTTGCGTGCAACGGTTCTTTTGTATAATCGCCATGTATAAATAAAAGTAGTCATAGAGGAACCTGATAATACTGTTATTTTTAAATGATCCACCGATTATAAAACCTATACAGTTAATAAATTTGTCAAAAGCAACGCTAACATAAGGTAAACGAAACCTAGAAGAAGGAAGATGGAAGAATTTTGTGTAGCACAAAGTATATTTTAAGTCAGGACGGAATTGATACAGACTTTAGAGAGTGAGTATCGTTAAAAGTAAAATAATAATTGAAACGGTAGCTTGTTAAGAATTTTGCTTTTTGCAGAGAGGCGTCAATTTATCGAGACTGGCCGCTGTAAGGAAGAAATTACGTGTCTCCGCGTCGAAACGGGACAACAAAAATTTCGGCAAATTATCAGACAACACGTACAACATATTGTTGGATGCGTCGATGGACAAGTCGTTGGGGAATACCATAGTCGTGTTATCCTGCGCGACGAGTACTGAAAAAAAAAATTAACAAACGTAAACGTTTTGACACGTTGTTTGCAGGATTTCTTAGAATCGCGTTACACAATACATAATCAATCAATATGATATGAAATAATCGGAGGAATTCTCCAAACAGACGTCATAAATATTTCTAGATGGAAGATCCGATAAGTGGGATGATAAACGCAATTGCAACGAGAGGTAAGACGATCCGATGTACATTCCATAATTAATTTTGAAAAAAATTCTATGCTCACCAAAAGTGTCCGGAGTCAATTTTACGCTAGTGTCCCAACAAGCAATTCCATTTCTGTGAACCTGAGTGAAATAATTGATACCGCACTTCTGGTCCATCAGAGACGAAGGCCCTTGCGTGTTTGGACCTTTATTCCCCTCGATATGGAACGCTTCATAAACTCCAGATTTGGCTAACGTGTTATCCTGCAAGACCTCTGTGGACACGGAAAACTCCGTGATACCGGACATGGCGTGGAAATACAAGGTCTTGTATCCGTCTTTTTGCGGCGGTGACAAGGACATTCCGAACACTCCGTCGGTCCATTGGAAATTGAAACCGCTGATGTTGAAATTACCTAGAAATTCATTATTCGGGTAGTGCTCGCAGAAAAGCTTGCTCAAGCGTTATATTAACCTTTTGAGTTATATAACGTTAGTTATGTTTCGATTGAAAATTCTCACCATTGACAGGATCGAAGTGGAAGAAGTTATGCGAAATTCGCCAAGAATCGTTCTTAGCCCAACTGTAAACCACCATTCCGTATCCACCCAAATCGGAAGTGTAAAGGTACGCGTCGTCGCAATTATTTTCGTCAACATCGACGACCAGGTCAGCGAAGAAGGAGTTCGGCGTTTGATCCGAGTCTTTCAAAGTGTAAGTTCGAAGTACCTAGTATTATTGAGAAGATACATATATTTAAATTATTAATTTCAAATCCAAATGTCCGAGGCAAATATATCATAGACGCAAATGTTTGTTTACGTTACCTTGTCTGTCTTTAAATCGAACACAAAGATCCTTACGGGTTGCACTACAGTGGTGTTCCCTAAAATATCGTCGATACCTGTATCGACTCCCCAAAGTCGACCACAAGCGTCCGCCCTAACGCGAAAAATGCTTACGATAGCATCAGGATTTTGTATGTCGTTTAATTCCCAATTAGGGTACGGATTCAATTTCGGAGATTCTGCGTGGGAGAGGATCATTAGTAAACGTATTATAATATGCTAGAGCAGGACAGTTTACGATAAGAATTCGAAAGTGGTATACTCGATTTATCGTCCTTCGAAAAATAATTCAAATTCGACACCACGCCGTTCTTCCATCGCGGTACGGTGATAAATATTTTGTCTTCCCACAAGTGCAAGCCGAGGGGCATATTATTCTCCGGGACGTAATCACCGCTGGATATTAATGTCTCCCGAAGGCTGTCGTTTGGAAAATTAAAATCAACGAAGTCCCACGTGTAAAGGGTTTCAAACTGCTGGCCACTCGCAACTGCGAGAAACGCGATCAAGAAAAGGCGCTGCATGGCTGCAAAAAGAAAATGCACGAATGTTAAAGAAATATTTTGTAATTCGAATGTTCCGTGCTTTCCCTTTTCATAGATTATTGTAACGATTTTCAGATAGTTTCGGATCGAGTATTCTAATAATTACTATCGTAGTACAATTACACAACGATCGACTCTGATGGCTTTATAAATAACTGATGCTCGAGTAAAACGTATATTTGGCTAGCTTCATCTAAACGAATTTTCAAAAAATGTCTTACCAATGACAGGAGTACGACTCCAGAATTTTAACCGTGGGTAGCACAATCGTTTTTGTTCCAAAATTCTAGAGACGTAGTCACCAGTAAAATAAAATGTTTCATAGAAGTCTTTATAACAAACTAAGTAAGTGGGACTCCATTTAAACTACCATCGGTACTTTCAAAGTGTTGAGAAAGATTTTTGGCTCGATGCCCCGAGGGCATAACTGTATCCGTTTCTTAAATTCGATGGTAAGAGTCCGAAGTACCCATCAAACGCTCGAGAAACTAGCCAACTTGTTGCCAACTTGTTGCCATAAACAATTTTAATCGACTGTTTAAACCACTTCCTACTGAATATTTTTAGCCCCCCATTAATTAGATCAATGTAATGATTAATTCACTTTCGGTCCTGGCACCCACAACACTGTGCTGTAATTTTACTTTTGAATGGTGCATAATTTAATTAAGTTCACTCACCTCTTTTTTAACTTCTTTTCGGCGTGTTCTCCGCGAAGCAACACTGCGATAATTGAGAAGAAATCGAGAACTGTGGCTTACTTAATATTAACGTGACCTGGACGCACAGTACTCGCTACTCCTCGTTCCCGAAGAACGAATTGGCCTTCTGCTGGAACTGTCCACGACAGAATGCCGCTATAATTCGCGATGGTATAGTACTTTATATACGGTGGACTCTCCGAACGGCTCTACACCGGCTCGATGAAAATGGATGCTAAAAATAGATGTTCCTTTCTCGAATTCACCCTTAATATGCAGTTATAACATTGATTAAAACAACACGTAGAATCATTACCATTTTTAGAAAAAAAATGAGAAATGTCCACACACTGATAAATAATTGAATTTTTAAACTTGTTGAACGTTGTAGAAACTTTAGGTTGATCGTAGAATGTATAATTTAACAAATTTCAGATCAATTTGCGTTTCAACGCGTGAATATTTAAATAACAATTGATAAAAAACATTTTTCTCATACAATATACAGAATTCCAAGTGTAACACAATTCTGTACCCGCATGGAGGAAGATGTTACGTAAAACACTGTTTACACGATCGTTGCAATTTCCGTTAATTATTGTATCCGCGTTTTGTTGTGTTTCCGTAAAAAGTCAGAACCGTCGAATCAAACGTCACCAGATTCTTTATGGTTTAAACAGTCGCATCCGGCAAACGGAAATGCATTCAATAGCTCATTTGATGCATAACACTCTACACACGCAACGATCTATGGTAAATGAATGCGTGATTTATTCATAAGGTTCGCGATCGCGATAAAAATTTATATACATCTACGATTCGACATTAATATCACGAAGAAATACTAAGAAGAATTATTACTAGAAAAATTCTAATACTAATAAGTTACACTGAATAAAAAACGGCACTTAAATTCTTTTTAACAGAATGTTTCGAATCGATTACTTATCTATTTTTAACACTGTTTAAAGAGTTCAATATCAGCCGCTTTTATGGAATAGAATGTAGTTGAACATAAGAAGGATTTCTCCTTAAAATCAAGGCAATCGGATCAAGTATAAAACAGAACTGATTTCTATGTCTTATATGGTCTCGTTGTTGAAAGAACCAGAACAGGTTCAGCACACTCGTATTTACTACCAGTTTCAACCACAAAAGAAGTAAAAACAAAGTTCTCTTCGTTAACGGTGTATAAAAAAGCGAGGCTGACCCTGAATTTTGGAGGAGAGTAGCCGCAGACGTTATCGGAGCTCTGTAATATTATTTCTACAAGAAGTGTAAGCTATACTTATCCCAACAGATCATTCGTAATAATATCTCTTTCGTTGTTTCGAAAACTTAGATTTTCGTAAGGAAACGTAAAACGGACGAATACTCTTGTACTCTTGTACTCTTGTACTCTTGTACTTGTACTTGTACTCTTTGGTCATTTGCTCCGATATATCGGTAAAAAAAATTCGCGCAGAATTTGTATTTTACGTTGGCATATCCATCATTGTCCTGTGCATAGTACAATGTTACACAATCATTGTCAGTTCCAGGTACTATTACTTTTCACTTCATTATGCAACGATTATCGGATGCAATGTACACAATCACGGAATTACTCGGTGTCATTATTGCCAGTGGGATTATTTCCTGGAATTAATTTGTGTACAAAAAATCAAGCGGATAACATCTGTTTTTAGCAATAATTTTAGTACCTCTCTGAGCAAATCAAGTTTTTGTATTTATGACTGACTTAAAAATATGTAGTCGAGAAAAGTTATTTAATTTAAAAAATAGACGAAAGCAACGGAAGGTGAATAAAATTTCCATGTTATAAAATATAAGATCTATTTATGCATTCGCATACAAATGGTACAAGGCACTTCCCTTAAAACTGTTATTTGGCAGTAGGTAACATTTTTTCTTCAATTCTTCGCATAAGGTCGATGTCAAGAATATTTTCTGAACGAATCGAAATTTCTGACAGTATTCCTACCTGATTTCACAATCGTGCGTAAATCTGTCGATTGAATTCGTCGGGCACGAATGTACAAAAAAATTCGTTTGAATATGAAATTGATATTCTGTAAAGAAACGTTTCACGTGTATGAAGAGAAACAACGATTCTACTAATATCAATAAAATTGAGGATGTAATGCAATAAATAAAAACGCGGAATGATCTCAGTATTACTTATATGTACATCTAATTAATCTAGGAAAATCGATGTTCTCAATTTCAACATTTTTCCGTCATCTTTTTCCGTTCTCAAACTTTTACCAAGCACTCTTTCGCGTTTGGTGCAGTTTTCGTTCAAAGCGCCGCCTCCGCTTCGACGTCCTTCGGATTCTTCTTTATCTTGCGTGGCTTCCTGCAACGAACAAGTTACAAATCGCATATATTAACAATTTTCTGAAAAATAAATGAAAATGATAAAAATATCAATGGAGCAAATATACGATTTATAAGCGATACTTGACGTTCTCAAAATAAATATTTATGTAACCGTTTCAGTAGACTCGACTTTAAATTTAATTCTCAATAAATTGCGCTTGTCTTCAGACCGCTAGGCGACGATAAAAATGAAGATGAACGATGAGAATCGGACACGTGAAATTGTTTACTACGGTTATCAAGAGTTGAATTACTGCAAAAATTTCGAGCGCTTCACTTACTTTCCAAAGTCTTCGCCGTCTTGAAGAGTCTCCGGAAGCGTGCATCCAACAGTTTCTGGCAACAAAAGACACAGAGCGGCGCCGATGAGTGGCAGGATTCCAAAAAACGCCGGCGGCAGCCACGCTTGTACTTGACCCTGCGATAAAACATTGAAACGTTAAGGAAAAGTGCTGAGAATTATGTAGCACGTGTCTGAAATTAAAAAGTATTCAGGTACTTTTGAAAATCTCGTTATTTGTACCCCTTTTGTATAATTCTTGGGTACCACAAGTTCTTGTACGTTCATTTGACAATTAATAAATACACTTGTATAGACATAGAAAAGTACGTGTTAAATGTTGAATTCAATTTTCACGAGTCGTTTTCCAATTTACCAGAGACACCACAAACGGCGCCGTGATGGAGCCTATTCTCGCGCACATGCTGCTGGTGCCCACGCCAATATTTCTAACAACCGTGGGGAACAATTCACCAGAAAACAGGTAAACGGTCGTGAAGGAGACTGACATGCCAACGATGCCAAAACAGACTAGAACCAATCGAAGCCACGCCATATCTGGAAACAAGGAGAACGGTTACAAACAACTCGACCGTATCAACGATTCTCGATTGATAGAATCTTCGTAGCTTCTGATTTAATGAAATCTACTCACTGTCTGAAATCACAATAAGTAGAAGAGCAGCGACACCGGTGATCGAGTTGCTGGCGATCAACGTAATCTTTCTGCCCAATCGATTCATCGACCACCAGGCGACGAAGTTTCCAGGTATCTGTATCACGCCAGAGACAGTGAAATTTACGAAAATATCGCCGCCGACTTGTCCTATGTACTGCGACATTCCGAAAAGTCCCATGCCGCAGACGATCCAATTAAAGAAAATCGACAAGGATTTGATCCTCATATTTGGAGTGCGGAGCAGATCGAGGAACGATGCTTTGTTGTCCGATTCTGATCGCCTGGAGTTCTGTGGAAAGATACATCGATCGTTAAGGACGATGCTCGTCGTCCTAGCTTTACGAGATTCATCAAAATTTTATTGATTTCATGAAAATTCTTACTTGATGCAAACAGTGCTGCCTGACCAACTCTGGAATGTCCTTATTTTTTATCTTATTTATATTGGCAGCCTTTTGCAGAACCGTGCAAGCCGCCCGTTGCTTCCCGAAAGCTAGCAGCCATCTTGGTGATTCAGGTACGATCCACCAGTAACCCAGAAGAATGACGGAAGGAAGAGTGATCGCGATTTGCAGGTGTTGCCAATGACGGAAGAAAAATGCAAGTCCGGCCAGCGACATGTGACCCAGGCTGAATGGAATTTGGTAAAGTACCGTGATGGCCGCGCGCCATTTTGTACCAACGATCTCCATACCTAGGAGGAATTAATTTATTTATTTGATTAATTATATTTCGTATAAAATTAGCGATTAACTCTACTACCGATCGAAACCTTGAAGCTGGTACAAAAATGTTTCCACTTTTCTATTACTTAAACTACAGTTTAAAGTTTGGAGAACACACTGTATATTTGTTAATAAACAATCGTTACTTACAGATAACATAACTAGTGACCATTGTACCTCCAGTGGCCAAGGCGCTAAGTAATTTCATTAACAACAGTGCCGGAAACCAGGGCACGACAGCGCATCCAACACCGGAAACCAATTGAAGAACTACGGCTACCATCAACGGCATCTTCCTGCCATACCTATAGAAACGGAAACAAAATTCGTAAACGTTAATTTGTTCCCGATTCTATGAAGTTCAACGTCGGACAATTGCCTCTTAGAATCGAACGTTTATAAATAATGAATTAATATTGTCTATACCTATCTGCTAGATTGCCGAATATAATATTGCCCAAAAGTACGCCGAACATCAAAATAGATTGCTGGATATTGGCGTAATGCGATCGACTGCATACTAAGTTCCACTGAAATAATGCAATCATAAACAAACATTCGTTTAGAACAGTTTGCACAAGCGATAAGAGTGTTCTGATAGCGAGGAACGTTTTGACATTTTAGAATCGAAAGGTACGACGATAAACTTTGCACAAATTTACCATATCCATGCAACTATTTTTCTATTGATAGATTTGGGGAACTAAGGTTCGGAAACATTGTAACAATTAAATTAAGTCTGATGACAATTTAGAATTATTAGTCGAAACGTCAATGCAAATAAATGTTTGCGTCAAGACCGATACACTTTATCTTCGTAATTACTTTACACCAATAAACAAAGTAACGCCGGAGACACTTTGATAATGCATGACTTGCTAACAAAAATAAAACGCACGATTAAGAAACGTTACTGACCGAGCATGACCAGTCAGTTCATTTATTATATCCAGTGAATAAATTGAATGAACTTATTATTTTTGTTTGCATCACATTGTTAATTGAGCCGTTCATCAATTCTTGGTAATTGAACGGCTGAATTATCAACAAGTATCGATCGAGAAGTTCGAATAATCGATTTTCGCTGCGTCGACAGGAGCCGTGAGAGACACGGTGGCTGATAGATTAGACAATTACCTGCGATATTATCGTCTCGGAGAACGTGCTCCTGTCGTACACCCACTCCGTGCACTCTGCCAAAGTACCATTGACATTGACTAGGCACTGGTCGGTCGATTCTGATCGAGCTGGCGCGGTGCAGTTGTACTCTTGATGCGGCGCCATGAAGACGATCGCGAGCTGATGCCAAGCGATCGGGAACTTGACCAGGGAGATTGCCAGGCAGACGTAGATCTGCCATCTTCCAAGGGTCCCGATTGCTTCCTGCACGGCATCGACCTCATCCTCGTTGTCGGCGATTTCTTCCTTTCCATTCGAGACTTGCTTACCGTTCACGCCCGCTAGAAGAAACAAATCAGTTAGGATCACTCGGCAAACTGTTTCTTAAATATTTTTAGAGAGACAGAAACAATTACAGTGTCAGGGTCAAGTTTCTGTTTGCGTGGCCTCTCTTTTACGAGCCATGTTGTATCGCATATGCAATCACGTCTGTGCAATTGTATTTCCTAATAGCGAATCTTGCTTCCCATGGAAATAAATCTGATATTAGCAATGTAAATTGTCTGTAACCTTCTTGCAACGTATGTATTAGATATAGCGACCTTTCCGTCGAATGGCAAACGCATTGACTTTCAATAATCGACGCTCACGGATTTCCATAGAATCCTTCGACCGGAAACTTCAAGAACAATAGCGTGAATTACGGTCGAAGACGAATTCGCAGGGATTGTTAAGGTATATCACGATTGGAGCATAGGTTTTTTTAAATACGTAAGAGACAGTCTGGGTCATGTGTTTCGCAGTTCTTCGCAGGTGAACCTTTCATTTTTCGAGTATTATCGTGTTGTCATTTCACGTAGATAAACAGGAAGGAACTTCAAGTTCTTCGAGTCCTTTCACTTCGCCGCATTTCGAATCACTTCGCTCCTTTATGTCGTGCGATCGTTAACGTTCGATATCTCGTTGGACGGAATGCATTTTTCCTTACGAAGGACATCGCCCGCAGCGTGCAACTTGACCGAATTGAGTTGAGGTTGTGCACGGTGGAAACGCGAACAGAATGGAATTTAAATAGGTACTAAAAATACGAACGCGAACACGCCTGTCCTCGCCTATTCCAGACTCTCGATTATCTTTTCAGTATCGTTGGATATCCCACTTAGCTTGTATCGACTGTGACAGTAATTTATGTTCGAATAAAATTGTTGACGTATCTGTCATCTAGCTTGTTAGGCATAAATGTTTTCATTACGTCTAAAGTAGCTACTTAAGAAACATTGATACCTACAGTATCGAAGTAGAAATTAACTTCTGTTTCAATAAAGAATAACATCGGTACAACGCATAATACGAATTGCGTTTAGGGACTAATCGTCGTGTCAATAAACAGCGTCGAATGTAGCAATAAAAGAATGAGATATTCTTGTAAACTGATTCATTGCAAACATACAGATATGAAATGACAACGATTGCGAAGGCTAACTCAATCTAGCAATTAACAGTGATGAAGATCGTGATTAATTGTCGCTTTAACGACTTCGACCTTTCTACGGCTCCTCTTCCGAGTGAGAGGTCAGACAACGTTACTCAACTGTTAACTAATTACAGATAGGGTATTTTGGAAGTCTCTCTCGCAGAAATTAAACAGTCTCCTATACTTGTATTTCGTTGTCGCTCAAAATGTTCAACAGCTAGGAAAACAAAATACGAGTGCAGTGTATCAGACTTTGACTTTATCTCTTACGATCCCTATCAAGCACTTTTTTGTAGACGAATAATCATTCGTGTAAGACCTCTAATATAGATATAACGCTATGCGACCTTCCCCCATTTCCTTAATACGACAAGCATTGTGATTTTTTCTCGTTACACAACCGGTCCTCACTTGCGTTTACATCTTTAATAAGACAATAATCCATGCGAATCTTTCATCGCGCTAACAGCGCAGTTCCATCGAATCTGTTTAATTTGCGATCAAGATGAGTCGATCAATTGCGTAAGTAACATGTTTATACTTATTCGCACGCGTCTCGTACGCGTGTTTAAACATTCAAGATTAATCGTATTGCGCACTGCGCAAAAAAAGCAGACGTTAAGATAGTAACTGTACAAATGTTAGATGACTATAATAGTAAAATCAAACAACGGGATGGAACGTTTTGCAGCGATATAGTAGAATCGTCACTTTAATCTTGATAGCTTTATAAGCTTAAATAACTCCATCGATAACATTTTGACCCTAATTTTGGGATTTCCTACTTACTTTTTCTTATTAATTTATTTGCCAATACGCTAAGATCGTTATTTCATGTGAGAGGCACGAGAACAAATTAGAACGATAACAGAATTCTTGGAAACACGCAGATTAACAGCTCGAAAACATTTCAAATCAGTGATACGCTCCAGTTTTAGTTCGTGGCACATATAATTAGAAAATCAAGTTTTTTTTTTTGTTTGACAGATATATTCCACGTTAGAGGAACCGGTTATTAGCTCGCGAGATATTGGATATCAACATTGTAATATTAACGTATGATACGCTTAATCTATTCCTACCATGTTTAAAACGCCTGTTCTTCGACTTCGAATTTTATTTTTGTGCAAGACACTAACGAGCAAACTCACTAACGAGATAAACAACGGGTACGAAATAATTCATTGATGAAAATAATACTACGAGCTGATTTGCATTATCAGCAACTCGAAAGAGTACACCAAGACAACGTGAGACCACATGTGGCGACTACTGTGCGAAAAACGATATCAGAGCTGCCGTGGGAACTGTTTTCTCATCGAGTGCGCTCCTCAATTTTGAATTTCGAAATTTGTCAAGCCTAAAGTGACCGGAACGACAGACGTTTTCCTTTCACGACGAAATTTCACGGTCCACACGTGCGAAGTTGCGTGTAACATACATTTTCGGAAAATATAATAAACGAACGTCCACTTCGGCCGTTAATGAGATAGCAGTTAAACAGAGGAGGAAAAAGAGGAACACGCGACGTTCGTAATTAAATTGTTTACCCCGAATCGATTACCGTTCATTTGTATTCGTCCCTCCTCCGCGTTGAGGTCTGCTCGTCCATCGTCACCGGTTTCTTGCGCAACAAGTGGGTGTGCGTCGGAAAGAGAAGCCTGATTGGCCGACCGCGAACTCGCTTATCGGACATCCAGACTTTTGATACGCTCGTTTACACATGTTTCGCATGTCAACAGTATCGTGCAAAAACGACACACGTACGTCACTTAGGCACGCTCGCTGGACGCGGTTACCGATACAATTGTCCCGTTCGAGTGGAAAAACAGACCGAAAATGATCGTTATTTTCCAAAATTCCGCGATAACAGGTGTCGAAGAAACGGTTGCGAGAGGAATCGTTTACTCTGTATAGATCGTGTAATTATACTTTGCGCGGCGCGTAAAATAAACGTAAATACGCTATATTTCATGTGTGTGTGTCATTCGTTTTAGTGTTGACGATAGCTAGCAAGACTTTCGCGTTTGACCACAACGACCGGATGGAAATGTTAATTAGCGCTTAATACGTGTTGACAAGTGGCGACGGAGAAATTAAGTCTACACTTATCGACATTAACCCAGCATACGAATACCCTCATACATATATGTTTTTAATTTTCAGACTGGCTTGATATATTGTTTTAGCGATCCAATTTTCCTTTAACGAAATACTCGATACGTAGAAAACTTTCTAAAATGATGGATACGGTGAACTTGCTTTTACTGTCCGTCTACTGTGCTAATTGAACAGATCGAATCGTCTGCGTACTTTGTCCGGACGAAATGGAACAAAGCTGCTGGACAAATGAGTCACAGATTTCGATAATCGAAATACGTGCATCGTACGAGACAGGGTTTCCTTGTAGACGCTTATAGAAATGAATCATAAATTATAAAAAATATATTTAATCTGGAAAACAAAGTAATTCGATCAGCTTTATTTTCAATATGTCCAACGCAGTCCATATTTGCATATGCATAGTAACAGGTACTAGAGAGTGAAACGATTACAATTGATTACAGATGTTAACCCATTCACTGGCAACTACGAGAATTATTGTTCGTGAATTAACGTTTCGTGTTGAATGATTTGACCGAAGAACAAGGAATAATTGTGGCGCCTTGGGATTGGATATTATATTTCATTGAACGCGCAATTGCGGTTCTAATACAGATATAAACTTTCATTTATCTCCGTTGCATGATCATCGTGACATTTGTTTTACGAGTGTAGTGGCGAGATTTAATCCATAAACAGCATAGACGTCAATTATGCGAAACAAATAAATCAATGCAACTCGAATACATATTCGAGTCCAAAAGTCGCATTCTATGATAAGTGCCACGTGCTTTATCAGATTATGCGTTTAATATTTACCCTTGGAAACAATACGCAATTGCGGCTTTTTATCTATGCAAATACCCGCCGCGCAAATCGTGATTAAGAAATTCGAGGAATGATTAAACTAGCCGCGACATGGTCGTACAAATTGCGTCAGAACATCCCACATAACACGGAACAATTGAAAACAAATGAGAAATCCAAGTTGGTATATACCAGTTTTCCTTCTGGAATTGTTTATCGGATGCATCGTCGACTTTCCGCTTCTTACGCGGGGAAAGAGAAACAAGGCCTGTACCGTTCTCGAGAAGGAAGTGATTAATGATTCTGGAAATTACAACGGAAAATAATATTTTCCTCTATCTCGGTTCTAAGGAATTCAATAATCCACTCTGTCGATCGATGTTAATCCTCGAGATCGAAGTGCTTGGCCATTGACTGCTCAACAAACAAGATTACAGTATCACTTGAAATCTAGCATTTTTTCTAGCGCGATAATAAAAGAGATCCGATATTAAATTGGCGTGTATCGAAGTGCCTCCTTGACATTTTTACTTGGATATAATATTATCGCACTCGTAGAGGCATAATCTCGAGTGATATCGACGCAACTTGATCTCAAGGATTAGCCTGCTTGCAGAAATGACTTTTTAAGGGATTACCCCATCTCTGCGGCGCCAAAGTATACATCATATTTACAGTGACTCTAACACATTGTTCGGGCAGTTTTATACGGAAGCGACTTCATGTTACATCAATAAATGAAATCTAGCTGATGCAAGTCCAAACACGAGTTAACTCGTGACCGGTTATCAACGTGTTAAAACACTGATCCAAGGAGGCCAGGAATTTAAATCGTTTAAAAGGTAAACTCGTTAATTCCAGAACGCTTTATAAGGAGGGTTAATAAGAAATTGTTTGCGCATCGGGTACAGTCTGACTTGCCACAGCCTTCCAAGAAGAAGTCCTCGAGTCTCCCGATGGCGTCTCTTGAAAAATTGAGAACAAGATACTACGATAATGGGCCCATACCGTTTTACCCTTTATTACGTTTAAGTATAGCAAGTGACGAGGGAACCAGTTTCGAGGGAAAAGAAGGTGATCGACAGTTCGTGTCAGACGCGAAATGTACGGTAACCTCGAGACAGTGGAAACCAGCCTTCGTTCTTGGAGCATGCGACTTAAGCTACCTTCTTGGGAGACTCGAATGGCCGTCACGTACTGCCGAGCCTCTCTACGTTAAAGGCTCACTACGTTTAAACACCGACTCGTCGTAATGCAAGCAAGGAAAACGTTCGTTGTCATTCGAGAAATGCACGACGTTTGTTTTATTGATAAAGGCGTTGTCTTACAACCAGATAAATGCAGTCGGGACAAGGCCTCCGCAGAGGCGACCTATTAAAATTGCAAAACAAACTTTCTTCAAGTGCAATAATTCACTGATAGCGAAGAAAGTGAAAGGAGGACACTGAACATTTTATTTACGTTATCATTGAGACAGTGTCATGCCAGTCACTGAAAGACATAGTGTGAACATCGCGTTTGAGCATCGGCAATTTGTTACTTGTAGATAATTCTAGTGGTAGATTTATTGTTAAATTACCCGAAGAAGATTCTAAGTGTACACTGCAATTAAAAATTTAATTTTCTGATGCCCTCTCAGGGATTAAAATTAAATAGACAATAATGTTGACGTACCATAATTGTTGGTTTGCGTATTCTTCATAGCACTGCCTGGCTGTGCAGCTATTTCGTTTCTTTGCGATACGTTCACGTTTTATGTTCGTTATAGTGTTATCTGTAACATACGAACGGTGAAAAATGTGTGAGTTTTTGTGTTTACCAGAGAAGCTGTCTTAACTTATTTTAAATAAATGCCTGCAGTTAAAATATCGAATAAACATGAATTCGCGGCGAAGAAAAAGTACGCGTCTTGTTTACGTCTTACTCGACTCACGTCGAGTACAAATTTTTCCGAGCGTAAATCATCCCTCGCGCTTGACTACGATTGATTTGTGAGTATTATCAAACCCGTTTGTCGCATCTTCTTCGTGTCTTCCAAGACGTATCGACTGCTTTGAATAATGAGTTGCCAAATACACGTTTTTATTATTTCATTTTACCCCATCTCCAATATCCACTCACGCAAATTATAAATTACATAGTAACGAAATGACGAAAATGTTTGATCGGTCTTTTCTTAGATTTTAACTCGACCATTCAGTTGCACGCACAAGATGATCCACTAACGGGCGTTAAAAAGAAACGAAGCTTACCCAATAACGAAACTCCCATGACGGTGACACGTACGATTGTACTAGCAATAAGTGCCACTGCGAACGATCAAGGCTAACGAACGTGTCACGACGGCAATGCCCCTGCCTCGATGAACGCCAATAAATCACCACGTGACGGTAATCGAAAAGATTACCAAGGTGCTGAAGCGACGATTACGCATTTGACTGCTCGGAGCGTATGACGTTTGAGATTTCAGCGGTGCTGAGAATCGCGGTCGAGACAATGAGAAACGCGTTGGAAGGACGGTGAGTTGTTGACCCGACTAGCCGTAATAGAGGGAAAGGAAAAATCGAAAGAAAAACGACCGCGAGGAAAGAAAATCGCGAATAGCGCCGCCGCGCCAATCATTTCGAGAACGCAACCACGTCGCCAGTTATTGCCGCGTGATTACTATCATAATCGCGCAATGCTAATTACGCGTGGAGGATGCAAGGCGCTGTCGACGTGCAATTCGAGCCGATAGTTAGTGATTTTTCACAGACGCGTTAAGGATCGCGAAGGAGGAACGCTGCGTTTCTTCCATACACGGAAGAAAGACGCTCTTCGTACAGTCCTATTTGTTTTCAAATAAATTTTTCATTTTAAATATAAGATTGTGTAAAATTTATTTGTGTTTGATTTACAAAAATTTCTCCGATCAATAATATAGGATACGAACACTTATGGGACTGTATGTTCATCTTTGTTCGGCCACTGCATTCAACATGTTAAAACGCGAAAGCGGAGTGTAAGGACATGGCTCGTTGCATTTTGCAGAAACAAGACAGAGTCTCGCAACCTCTCATGGCGCGATAAACAGTTAATTCAACATTATACTTAATCAAATGTATATAAGGAACGATCACGGTGTAAAATATACTTCTCGCTGTGGATTGAATTCAGATACGCTGTTATTATTGTTGCGGCAATAACGAAAAATTGCAATTGGTCAGAACCGCTGCAAGAAACGTGAACCGAATGAAAATGGAGAACACACTCGCGCTCGAGTACTATGATTAACACGGTCGACGATCGTGTAGCGACGAAGAGAAACGTTGACAGCGGAGGATGTAATATGCAGTTTGGATTACGAAATTGGCATCTTTCGATGATGTAATTGGCCATAATAGCGAATCAAATTTCTTTGCCTTTTCTTTTCAGAAATTTATACAAACGAGTAGTGCTACCTGATTTTCAAGGAACTCATTCATTCGTCGGGTTCTTTATAGTTGTTAAGTGACCGAACAAAATTTCTCCCATTCGAACAGAATTATTATTTTTTATTTCTTCATTTCGTAATTATGTGAAAGTCATGTAATTACCAATTTTCATTCCGTACTTTTTGCTTATTTAATAGCAGGAGGCTGATCGACGGTCCACTTTCTTTTACAGTAGACGAAATGGTATCAAGAAATATGATCTGAATACTACGATCGAAGACATGGCAGTTTTACGCGAGCAAGGTGGTAAAGCTCTCGATGATAACGCTTCTGCTTCGTTCATGCATATTCATACTTTATAGACACTTGTCGTGCGTCGATTGAAGTACGAAGTCTTGTCCGATCCAGACAATCGGTGTGGCCGTATCAACGAATAATCCATTCCCGTGATTGTTTTGTCTACCAAAGCTTATTCTGCAAGCGACAGTTTTATCAGTGTTGAAAAGTAATTACCTCGGTTCCTCATTAAAGATATACCAATTTTCGTATTTATCTGCCACGTGGCGCCGATACATGTTATCGTTCGTGAGTTTGAGGTCAATCGTAGTTCTTTTTAGGAAGTATTTTCACGTAAAGAGACACGAATACAAATTGTAAAGTGGGAATTCCAGCGTCGATATTAAATACACTGGAAATTTTTTATGTTACCCGGCGATTAGTTTTATCTGTTGTTTTGGTGTCAGTCCATCCAGTGTAATGAAATTGCTGACAAAAGAAATTTGCTTAACGGTTCAATACAAATTATTTGATTACGGTTGTTTAACTTTGTGGTGACAAGTGATGTATCATACACGAATAATAACCTTTCAAAGGGAATTGGTTTGTATTAAAAACTAAACTATGAGGCGAGAGGGTTAATGGGGCCTTTGAAGTAGTCGTCTGAATGTCGAGGAGCGGGTGACTGAGTCACTGTAACCTACTTAATAGATGTCATCTGATACGGTCTAATTGATGTACAACTACGAAAGGAACATCGAACCAGGAAAGTTAAAGAACCTAGTAAGTCAGAAAATTCTTAATGCAAACAATTAACCCATACCACGTAACCATTTTTCATTGGTGCCATTAATAAATTGGAAAAACGTCTAATATTTTCTTCTACGAATTCGACAACTCAAGCTTTCTTCTAGCAATTCAAATTTTTCATTTTTTCTTTTTATTTTTTTTTTTGGTAAACCCAAAAGATCCATCATACGTCAGCGACCTTCTGCATCGGTACTCGTCATCCTCTGTTACCATTATCGTTTTTACCATTACGCGAAAAGATGGCAAGCCCGCGCAACTATTTTTGATTCGTTCATTTAGCGAGCGTTGCTTCCGTTCGACTTCTATGAAGCATCCTATATTCATCATGTGCCATCCGTGTAACGCGATGAATACGAGCACGTGTAAGTCGCGAACGAGAGACATTGATAGAGGCAAAAGTGCCGACGTCGTGTCATGAAGTACATGCAGCCCGTGTTCAATTGATTACGTTAAGAATGGAGTAATTTCGTTAAGCGTCATCAAAGCGCCGATTGTAATTACGTCGATAATTACTTCGAGAAATAACAAATTTCGTTTCGATTGGTGAATAAAGTAGAACTTACATTGCGTTTCTTATCATGTTAGTCATGCCGTTTTATCGACACGGGTCGGGGACAAACGCGAGATGAAACTAACAACGAAAATGAAATGGTTTCTTGCATAACGCTTTACGTAAACAAACGTAAATTGCGTACCTAATCAATCGGAAAAGAAAAGGGAATTATTAGACGATCGAAGGAAGCGTCGAAGGAAAGAAAGGACGATCATGCTTCGCTCGTGAAAGTCCGCGGCATTGAACTTGGTCCACGCAGTCCGCGGATGCATTTGGCTAGAGTCGCTGCTGCAGTTGGGATCAACTGCGCATATTTTTTGGCCCGTTATTCCGTCAAAGACACCAGGATGTATCTGGCATCGGCTAAAAAATATTACTTGAACAACACGTTCCTGAAATTCACGAGCCACCCTCGCGTGAACGTGACACTATTACGAAACTCGTGCATGTTACAATAAACAGTAATTTTCGAATTATCTCTACCTCGCGTGGATAAACTGTAAATAGTTTCATTTTCTTTTTTTCAGTTTTACTTTGCATGAAAACTTCTAAGGTTTTTCCAATTATACAAACGAGAACGATCCGCGAGAATGTAACACTCCGAGATATTTTCAAGCTAGACTTGACTCGATTAACTCGTTAAAAAATGCCAGTGATAAATCGAAATTGAATTATAGTTCGAACTTACTGCACTGCTTCATTGGACACAATACGTTATCGACGTTTTCTTGGCGAGCTGCACTCTACGACTTATTCCTAGATCGAATTACTCGTTTATTAGAAAATAAAGATTTCTGCTCCATTTCAATCTTGTACCGAGAAAAATGGATAAATCGCAGGAAACTAGCGCTGCGTGGAAAATTGGCAGATAGTGTTTCACTCGGGCAGAATATGAATAAAAATCAAGGTTCCCGTATATAACACAACAACTGCGTGCGAGAACGCGTGGGCGTTGAAATGCCTTTCCAACAGACGCGTGTGTCGAATGATTCATGAAATAATTTTCCGACAATTTCGGATACAGGGGAAGTTAGACGTTACGCGACTCGAAGATGTGTATTTTGAACACGAGGGAAATGTGTTTACGGAACGAACTGGAGTTACACGCGCCTCTCTTACTTAAAAAAATACTGACTCCTTTCAAGTCTCCGTTATCTCTCGTTCAGAGAATTATTGGAAGCTTGCTATTTACGATGCTCTAGAAAAAAAGTCGTATCAAAAGCGTTCCAATAAGATCTTTATATGTTCATGACCTTGCATAAAGCCTCGAGTCACCTTAATCAGGCTCTACCGTTAATTCCAGCGATAGCATTAAGATTCGGAAAGGTCTGCAAAGACAGAGAAAAACGCGAATTCGTATCAAACAAACGGGAACAGTGAAACATTTACGCTAGTACTTATCAGAGCGTATTTTTAGAAACATCTGCGGCCGGTGGAACTCTAGCGCCGACATTTGTTTTACGTATACGAGCTTCTATTAATTTTTTACAAATGTTTCGAGAAAGAGTGTCTGTAACAATGAATTACGATCAAACATCGCGATGGCAAATAACATTAATATCATGCGTTCAATGCGCTTTGTAACGATGACAGCTTTCTTGCTTACGATGCTCTGATAGACGTCAAGAACGTTTGTAAATTATAGTAATCGAACAACCGTAGACAAAATGCTGTATCGTTAATACGCTAACGAGACACTTAATAAATTAGCGTTACCATTACAAACGCAACAGGTCTTCGATCCATCGAACGTATTTCTCAACGTAATTTCCCATATTTCGCATTCGCGTATGAAACGTTACGATATTAACTGTCAGATAAGAAGTAACGTTACGTCGTGGTCTTTATCTACTCAACCCGCGATATTTAACGAGCGTTAATCGGTTGCAAACGAATAATTAACCATTTCCCATAAGATGGAAATTTGTGTTTGATAACGTCTGATCCTCTTCGACCGGGACTTAACAGAACAGATATGCCTCGGACAAAGAAGTTTATATGAGTGTTATTGTCCGCCGCCAGAGATGAGAAAACACTAAGATAAAACAAAATATTTCATATATCGATCGACGTGGATCTCGTTTAAATTTATGTACTTTATACTATTCATTTACTTTGTTTTCCTGAGAATGAAAATATTTTAACAACAGGGTAATCATATACATTCCTAATAAGTAACTCAACGAAGTCTTTAAGAAGTTAAGGAGCAACGTGCATAATCGTATATAAACAAATTCTACAATTTAACAACTTATCAATTTCTAAATTATGTGTATTTACTTGATTCTCTTTCTTTTATTATGCATATACTTCGAATGCAAAATTATTAAACTGTTTCTGCCGAAGACGTATAAAAATCTTATAAAATGAAAAGAAAATTGACAGTGAAATTGTAAAAATCATCAGAAATTTTGTTATATCACCACTGAATCTAACAGAGACATCGGGGAAAGCAGTTTGTCCCTTACCTCTTTCTCGTACCGCGAACGGATGTTCCGCGTGATTTTCTCTCGATCACTCACACATACACACACATACACACGACCGCCGAGATTCACTCCACTTTTCCGTCGCACCTCGTGTACCGTCAGGTGTTCGAATCAATTTAATGCATAATTCGTTAGATACCAAGGAACCACCGCCGATTGTTTCCCGCCAAACTGTAGTACCTCGAAAACCGTTCGATCGTTCGATCTTTCATTCGAGTAGTACTTCGATCCACCAAATAAATTACATTGGAATCAAATTTCATAAAAAAAAAAAAAAAAAGAACCGTCTGTTCTTAAAAACTCCTGCAACAATGGTCGTTCGAAGGTAAAGAAATAGGAAAAGAGAGATTGAGAAAGATCGAATTTAAAATGGGGATCGCGGAGATTTTGGCACGCGGGATCGGAGAACAATCGGTGTCTGTACTCGTGTTCGGGACTGCGAGTCGATTGTTTCCCAATTTAACGAATTCTGTTTAAATTTTCCGAGAGTGGAGTGGCACTGCGTCGCCCATGTGTCGTGCGCGAGTTACGACGATCGAATAAAATGCGAGGAAAGCGTTTGCTCGCGCGTGTTGCTCGTGCGAAACTGACTCGCTACTCGCCCGATCGTGCGACTGACTCGACTTCGAGGTCCATAAATATGTACGCTCGCGGTGTACTCACTGGCGTTCCCCGTTCCTGGCGAAGACGAGGGACGAGGCGGCAAGCTACGATGGTCATTTCGTGCAACCTGTTTATTAATCGAGCCGAATGAACGTCAGGGAAATTCATTCAGGAGGCGTGGACGAAGAAGTCAACGAGGACGAGGCTCGTTGCAACCCTTGCTGCGACAAAGCCTTTTGAGGCGCTTTGCAACCAAAGTCACCAGGCTACTCAAAGTTTTCCATGTATTCATTTTTGAACAGAGCTTTCTCTATCTATATAACATGAACTATAAGTATATAAAAACTTCATTTTCTTTTTAACATCAATTTTGACGAATCTATAATGAAAATGAACGGAAACCAACTAATTCAAGATGTACTGCAAGTAGTTCGATTTTTCGTATCAAGACGTTATGTTAATTACCTATCAAACACTTCTGTTAGAATACGTAATCCTAGAATTTTGCATTTATATTCATTTGTTGTGTACCTTACAAGTGACTAAAAGCAGCAGCCTGCGAGGAAAAGCAATTAGTGTTAATCGTTCCTGTTTTTCTTATGTTGTAACTCCTGAAGACCTCGCTGACCGAAAAGGCTGAGAATACACATGTACGTCTAAATTGACGTGTTTGCCTATTATCACACAAATAACGTCAACAACTCGCCAACGAGCTGAACCTGATCCTGAATACTTATTCGAGCAAATTCAAGGCTGCGAAACAATGTTTGAAACTATTGAGTAAGTTCTAATTGTAGACATAATGAAGCTGGGCGATGAATGAGAATTTGTATCGTTAGAGCGGAGGTAAAAATTACAAAATATCTTTTGAAATATCAATGAGTAATAAAAAAAAAAATGAAAGCATAACTTCTCTTTAGTACGCGTAATTTACAACTTTATCCGATTCTAAAAATCCTTTATATCAATTGCTGATAAGATCACCATGAAATTTTGGCGCGTTACGTACACGGAGCCATAGTTATCCATAGTATGTTCGAATGCAAGACATGGAAGTGTACGTGTACACTAACCGTCCATCGTTTGAACGTTCAAAGCATAAGCATTATTGCGATGCAGATGTGTCTCGATTAACCCCAATTAAGTTGACACTCCTAAAACTACGTATGCACGTTCGCGAAGGACAAGAGCATACGACATACCGAACGATTCACTAATAGTCTGTGAGGATTGATTGACAATGAGTTTGTTGACAACCGTAACAGACATCGGTCCATCAACGATCCTCCATGGCAATTTGATGATAAAATCTTAGAGGTGAACGATGCAACGGAGAGCCGATGACAGCACGTTTGTTAATCCTCTCGCACCATCTTCGTTCGATTCGAATGACAGGTTTGTCACACCGACGAATACGTGGGTTATGTTAGCTAGTTAAATCGAACGTTGAACAGTGTAAACAAGTTTGCTTGGTATCCGCCGAACAATGCCGATAGATGCATATAGTAGTATCACGCGAGATACAATTAAATGAATCGAAGAAACCAAGATGGAAGATTACCAATGAACTTGTAACCGTAGTTGAAACACATCTACTATGCCGATGCAATTAAATCGCATCGAGTACTAAATCATCATCCTCGATTAATTACAAATGCAACCACTGCTATTGATACTATATACATCCACGATGTCTCGAAAGCAAACCAAATATTTTCTACGTATTTTTCTACCTAATTTTCGTCATTTACCGCCGAATCGTTCCACGTATTTCAGAACAGTAATTTTAATAGAAGACTTCCCAATTTCATCCAATTAACCTCGTGACTCGACCGTGTAGATATATTAAAAAATTAGGCTCAGGCGCCATTTGTAATATATTGTAGAGCTCACCAAGACAGCGTACAATATTTTTTTTCTTTTCAATTTTTACTCGAATTTCGAAACGTGTTAGTTGAAGTGACCATTGAGACTAGTGTTGCATTCGTTGCGCCCCGATAACACGATGCGTCGGACGAATATTTTCCTTTAATTCCAAGAAGTTGGAACACGAAGGAAATTGCGTGAGCGATTCTCCGTTTATTTTGATTAGTTCCCCTAGTAATCACTCCGTTTCGAGGCCAGAAATTCGTGCGACTTCTCTGCATTGTCGTGACAAAAGTTTAATGACCAGGCGTGTTTTAGAAGTCGTCCCGAGTAGGATGCGAGTTAATGCAATAACCCTCGTGTCACTGTTTAAGTGTCATTGTAATATCCGTCAAATTGTTTAGAGCGAATCGACAGTCGTTCTCCTTTCCTGAACATTTGTCAGAAAGCGAAGAACGCATCCGTTACGTTCCGCGAATGAACTGTACATTGAACTTTATATTCTGCGGGCAACTATGTACATCTTGCGTAATTCTGTAATACACAATACACACGCTGGGGTCACGGATGTGTTCGAAGGCCTGCAGTCAAAATATTTAGGAAACAGCATTTGTCAACAGAGTCCGAAGAATCGCGCAACAGTCGTCGAACGTCAACATCGTGAATCGAATAGATAGTTTCTATAGTCCAAATTTCAAGCCTTGTTCGTTAAAGTTATCAGTTATAATCGTGCCCCGTTGCATACCGTTTTAAATATATTTACTTTCTCTTAACGAACTTTTTGAATCTTATCGATAATCTTCGTCGTATCAGTTAATTAAATAAAAATGGTTAATCCACTTTTCAGCGAACGGAGGATTCGATGAACTTTGTCTTTCGTCGTTGATAGCGTGATTTTATGGATTATCACCAATGGACTCTCTTGACAATTTTAACGTTCGAATTTAGCCACGTTAATCTTTAATGAGAAAGGTTTGGTGTCCTCCTCTTAATAGTCTCGTTGAGCCAATTTGTACGAAAGAAGCATCTAGAAACATGAACGCTGAAGGAACCACGAAGGCTGAAGTTATAGGGGTGTGCGCTCGTCTTACGCTAAGAGGAGAGTAGAATAATCCCGGAAATGAGTTCAAATGGTTTAATCTCTTCAGCAACCGCGTAAAAATTCTGTTTGCGGCACGTGGCAGGAAGAAACAGCGAGAAATATTTTCCAGAAGCGCTAATAAGAAAACTCAGTGAACGATCAATTCTGAAAAGTAGACATTTTTTAAGAACAATTTCACTTCTTGTAAAATCGAACTTGGTAGAATGAATTTTAAAGGAATGTATTATCGTTAAACGCGGAAGAAAAATGTATGCTGATTTGAATGGAATATTTATGAAACAAAGTAATCGAATACGCTGAATGAATTAATCTTTTTATTTTACTTTTAGATGATGGAATTCTATCATATCTTCGTTAGTACGATGACCCGAGAGAACATTCATTATTAGCGTTCAGCGCGAAGAAAGACATCGCGAGCGCGTCTGCACAAGATTGATCGTCAGGAATTAGTTTTTCGATGTATTAGAGGTAATTTTCCGTCTGATGAGTTCACTGTTTCGATTATCATTATCTGGCGCACTATTAGCGAAGAAATCAAAGGGAATCACCGACAGAGCTTCTTTAATGCTCGTGCATCTGCTAATGATGTCGACTGATAAACGTCGCGCCTCCGATGCTTATTGTTTTATTTGAATTTTTAACATAAAGTCGACGGAATGTTTCAGAAGGCATAATCCACCCTCCTGGTAGTTCGACGATATTATTTATTCGTGCAATTAATCGTCGTTAAACGTAAGAAAATACATCTTGAAATTGTTGAGCTTCTTTGATACATTTCGTATTACTAACGTAAGATCATGGATAAAGCGGTTTAAAAAACCACAGTGGACAACAACATGGTTAAAAATAGTTAACAGGTGTCCGGAAAGGATCAAGGAGGACTAAGAGTCTATTGATAACTTTTTTAATCAATGTAATTGGTATATAAAGGATTCATCGGTTTTTATTTTCGTGAATAAACCTGGAATTTTTAATCGACATTTAAAATTCAAATTTGCTCGACACTGCTGCCATCTTATGGGAGTTGGTGTCCCGTTTACCATTTCTGAATCAGTGCCAACCTTATCAATCGGGAGGGGAATAATACTCCAGCGGTATTAGCGGTGAGAATTGAAACTAATTTGAATGTTATCACAGAGGAGGGTGTCCTTATCTGTGATGATACTTATTTAGAAACGATCGAATCTATCTGGCTTTTATTTTGTAACCAAGCACAAGGTGAAACATTTTTTTTAATCATTGATGAGCAGAATCCGTATACTATACAATAACGCTACAGATGTGATAAATTATACGAGGAGGATCACAGCCACTTTACTCGTACCGTTAGCTATGTACTTAATGACTTCATCACGCTCCTACTGGTGATACAATTAGTCATTACATACTAAACACTCTCAAGAGCCTAAGACGCACCACGTGGAGGCTGCTGCATATGGAGATAGATGTATTTTGTTATTTACAAATAAATCCTAGATCCTTTTTAACAAAACTCTAATCATAGATCCATTCTATCCCGTTTCAGATTAATTCTCCTGAAGAGCATCGATAAGCTCGCAAATGAAACGAACCATGCTTCAATCGCGAAAAAAGGATTGACGGCAGTTTTGGAGGACGTTCGTACACGAATTCGAAAGTTACGGAAATCGAAAGCGACCGTGAGGAAAACGGGCGAGCAGCGAAAGTGAACGTGATCCTGACCCAGGACAACTCCAGTTTCCTCGGAGAGATCTGTTCGACAATCGTGTGCTGGATTAATAGAAACCTCGGTTGGGTCGGGTCAGGACAACGGCAGCAGCCAGCGAAAGTGAAAACGAATCGAAACGAAACTGGTAAGTCGGTCGCGGGCAGCCAGATGTAGGCGAGTGAAATTGAGCCCGGTAAAAGTGGGCTAATAGTTCCCTGTCCTATATTCTTGTCGCTGTACTTTCGCTCTCGATTCCTGCTTTCGTGGTACCTGCGACACGTTCACTTTCGAGTGAACCCACCGATCGATCGCTTGACTGAATGCTTCTTAAACTGAAGCGCATGAAAGATATAGAAATAAGAATTCCTTGAAATTAATATAAATATATTATATTTTAGGCAACGTTTGGTTTCTTTCATAGACGGAATGAAAGAAAAAGTTGAAATAAAATTATTGAGTTTTAAAGAGTTTTCCATAAGGTGCTTTGGAAACTTGCTTATTAATAAAACACGAATCGCATGGAATATGTTCTATTTTTTTTTTCTCTGAAGAAGTAAAGAGACTCCTAAATTCTGTCGTAAATCTCCATTATCTTCGCATAATTTTTGTCTTTGTCCTTCGAACTTTCGATTTCTCTTGATCACACGTGTCACATTTAAAGTTGTTTCATTTGCACTAATACGATTCTTATTTTTCATCTATAATTAAAGAAGAGCGAGGAAAGACTTGCCTTCCTATACTACGTTTTAGGATTATTGCTGTGCATTATAAAGAAATTGATTGTAGATACAATGTTACACACTGTATTAGATGAAAATGATAAACGTACGAAATTCTTCTTTCATTTGCACATACTTATGTTATCATAACTAGCTATACGTAACGGGTGCTCGTTCTTGAAAAGTACACGTGATAAGGAAACAAAGTTTAATCGTGTGTTTGACGAACGAGGAATCTGATACTTTATTGTCACTATTCCATACGCATAGTTTAATCGAAAATAAAATAGATAAAGAGGAAGTCTCGTCTCTTCTGTTTCAACTATATTTTTGAATTATCTAGGAATTGTCCCAAGGAGTCGAGATTCAAATGTAATTGTAAATAAAATCGTGTTCGAAGAATGTAGTTATAAATATAAATCGTGTTTGACTGTCTCGTTCCACAATATAAAATTATCGCGGCACATTAAAATACAACTCTGGAACATGGATGCTATTATTAACATTTTAACATTTTAAAGTGTCATCCATGATACGGCCACAAAAATTGTGTTTGCTGTACCACCGTTTTGCGTCAAACTTACGTAGGCGAGATTCGTGAAGCCTCTTGAAGGTATTCAACAAGTGTTTACAATACGCCGGAATGTTGCTCAAGAAATAAGATGAATCACTGTAATAATAGTTGTAAATTTCGTCGGGAGACGTGATAAGGATCATTTATCACGAACCATTTGTATAAAAGAACCTCGTAGATCTCGGACGAACAGTTGAACAACATGCTATTGCGTCAAGTGTGAACTGTTCAGTGAATGTTACAAACATGAAAGGTAATATTGCAAAATTAAATATCAAACTGAACGACTTACATTATGTTTAGTTTTGTACTTTTTTTTAAATCATTATAATCACACTGTATCCCGAATTATAATATAATTTGGAATATTTATACCGAGATGTAATATTGGTCTGTTGTAAATAGGTATCAGCAGCTTATTGTTCGCGTCTTTAATTATTTACACCTGCGGTGTTCCACGTGAGAGTTCGGGATGGAAGTCTGCCTTGGAGCAAATTCAAAAACAACGCGACGAAACAGTTTCGCCTGTTTCCAGTACAAACAGTGCGCAAGATGAACCAAGTATCGACTACAAACAGCTTATTCAAAAATACTTGAAACCTGATGGTGATCGAAACGGTGATAATACTACAGAGACAGGGAAATCTGGAAGTATTTTAGACTGGATCCTGCGATGGAAAAGCAATGGCACTAGGTCTAATACCGAAGATAATCAGACTGAAGACAACTCACCTTTTGGAAAAAATATTTGGAGAAAGTATGCCAACCGATGGTATAGAGGAGAAAATAATGGCGAGGAAAAGAGTTCCACTGTAAGTGACTCTGATGCAAATAATTCCAACAAAAATGAGTCCAATAAAAAGAAGAGAAGTCTGAACGAGGAGGATCCTGACAAAACTACTTCCGAAGTGAACAACTCCGAGGAAAACGAATCCAACATAAACGATTCCGATGCAAATACATCCATCGAAAATGAGTCTAATGAAAATTCCAACATGCAGAATACTCGGGAAGTAACACCTCGCGGAAGTAGACAGCGGAGAAGTCCCAAGGACTCCGATAATGATTCTGATGATAACAACTCCAATGAGAGTGATTCTAATGACGTAACAAACGAAAGTAATTCTGATGATAATAATTCGAACGAAAGTGATTCCGATAAAAAGAAACTCCGTGGAAAGGATGCGCGTGAGAAGAATTCTCATCGAAGAATTCCTAAGAAGTCCTCCGAGGACAGGAATTCTGACGAAATAGTTTCCGAAGATGATCCTAATTCCAATGAAAGTGACGACGTAACAAACGAAAGTGATTCTGGCGACAAAAATTCAAACGAAAGTGATTCCGATAAAAAGAAAAAAAATCCTGACTTGTCAGACTTGAGTGAAGAAAGCGGTTCCGCCGACAGGAGCCTCGATGATAAATCAGACAACAGTCGCGATGAAGAGATCAAAAAGAAGAAAGACAAATTAAAGGACCGTCGTCGTCGTAATCATGGTCAATCGTCTGATAACTCTGTCCAAAGTGCTAGCAACGAGACAAATTCTGAAGAAAATAATTTCGAAGAATACTTGGAAAAAGCCAAACGATACAAAGAGAAGCGCAAAGAAATAGCGCAGATGCTCGCAAATGCTGATGCTAACAGACGTAGATGGCAACAATTGCATAGAGAAAGAGATATGGAATGGAGAAAGAAAATAGACTCGAAGAAGGAAATACTGAAAAACAAGTTCGACTTGAAAGAGAAAATAATGCGTATTTGTAACATCACAGACGAGATTAAATATAATAATACTAGCAATGTAAAGGAATGCATCAGAAATTATATTCATTCATTGATCAATGCATTAGAATCGTCAAAAGCTGAAATAACGAGACCATCAGAGGGAAATAAAACAGCCCCAGTAGTACCTGATTCCAAGTTATCCATCATTTATTCAATATTAAATAAAAATAGACCACCAACTGGTACAAACATCAATGGTGCACCTAATCCAACGTCTGATCCAGAAATAGACGTGAAAATACCTGAAGATAACGTCGTCGTCACAGGTAAGATTATATAATACATTATCATATACATTTATGTAGTTTCCCATCGTTGTCATATTTTTATTGCAAAATTATTTGTCTAAACAGATGAAGCACGCGTATCTGAAATCGACATCAATGGTTGGATCGATGTCAACCTAGTAGCCACAGATGACGGTTCCTTAAAAAATAAGAAGCCTTCCATTAATGGTAAAGGTCCAAGCGATTCGAATATTCCACCATCAGGTGGAAAACAGACACCTGAATCTCATCGTAAGAAGTCACAACCAACGCCTACGAAAAATAAGCCTGACGTTTCAAATAGCGAGAAGCCTAAAACTGGAGCAGACAACTCCTTGGACAATAGTGGAAAATCACCCAGTAACGAACCTAACCAGGTTGAAAGTGGTATCAACCAACCCTCAGAACCTAATGAAAATGAATCACCAAAGTCAACTCCGCCAGCTGCGGATGCTAGTTTATCAAATGAACAGGC